GACATTAATATTTTGAGAGGTATGGTTAGAACTGGTGTTTATAGCTAACTAGTGCCAACTTGCTTGATAAAAGCTGTGTAAGACATCCAAGAGTATCAGGAAACCCAGGGTAATGTTGGGAGAGGGAAAGGAAGCCAGCCCCTTTTTTTATAGATGAAATTGCAAGAAAACTTGAGTTACTGTGCAGTTGTATTTGTTCCTGGGGGCAGTGGGGTGGTGTGAAGTGTGAGCAGACAGATGCATTGCAGATGACAGCTGGAAGTCTCTGACTGACTGAGTGACATCTAGATAATATTAAGAAGTGATCCCATCCCCTTGCTATGGTGTTATCTGCTTCCCAGACCAGGCAGTCTGTAGCAGTCCTGCTTAGAGCACAGCCCTTCAAAGCAGTGTGCAGCCTTCTGATCTGCTGCACCACAGGGCCTGCAGAGTGTGCAGGGGAAAGCAGCTCTGTGCATTGAATCACTGAGTGGTTTATGGTGTTCCTATCACACTGGATTAGAGTGCAGCTTTTGGAAGTGCCCCAGTAAAAACAAATACTGTATTTGAGACATAATCAGTGACTGTAGCAACATTGCTTAAGTATGTAACAACATATCTATGGGTGGGGGAGTGAGAATTACATGGTTCAGTCACAACACAGGTAGGAAAAATTGCTCTCTTTATGTGTCTTCTCTGTGGCTCAGCTGGGATTTATTGTCATAACTAAATAATTTTGTACCAAAAAGTAGCCATTTTCTCCCACTGTAGCTTTAAATACTGATTTGGAGGTGGAAAGGCAGCACTGAGATGCCTGTGGCTCTGTCATGCCCATGATTTCTTTCAGCACAGGAGGCAGAGTCCCTGGCATAGTCTGGAGTGCAGCATCCCCTCTGCTCCCAGCAGCAGCCCTGGGGGTGGCTCCAGACTCTGCTGCTGCTCTCTGTCCACCAGCAAAAAGGGAGACACTTCCAGCATTCCCTGGGGTGGAAATTGGGACTCCTGTTTCCCCTTTTTTAAAATTTTTACTTCCACAATAGTAGATGTATTTAGTGGAAACAAACCTTGTGAGAGATTGGAGGTGTCTGTGTAGCCTTCCTGGAGGGAGCAGCTGCCTTGGCACGAGGAACTTGTCTGGGCTGGATGGAGAAATGGTGGTGGCAACAGCTGGGCTTTGTCTTTGGGCTATAAACAAGGACTTGCAAGTAGGTTGTAAAGGGGGGGCTTGGGTTAGTCTTTGAGCTGAGGCTTGGTTTCTGCAGTTTAGTTTCAGTACTGCCACAGCTGCTTCACAGATTTTAAGAGCAACAGCCCTTCTTTAGGCAGTAAAAATCTTCTTGAAGCCAAGCAGGGGTATTTTTTGCCTTAATTTCTCTGATTCCTTTTCCTATCCACAAAGCAGGATAAATGTGCTTCTGTCTTTACCCTTTCCTGCTGAGGCTGTCTAGATAAGAAGTTTGCTAGTGGTACAGTCATGGCTTTGTATGTGGGGCACTTCTCCCAGTTTGCCAATCCTCCAGCCTCAGAGCATCAACAGCAATCCAAGCAGGCAGCTGCCTTCAGGACAGGGCTCTTGCAGTGTTGCTGATGTCCCTGGTTGGTTATATTTATTTGTGTGTTTTCCCCTTCTCTCTAATTATGCTGATATTTACTGCTCAGCAGCTGCAGTCTGAGAAGGAGAGTGGTAAGTGCTGGCTCTGCAGCTGACACCAGCCTGGTGCCTTGGCTGTGTGTCAGCAAAGGCCTCTTGCCAGCTGGGCTAGGGCTGTGTGGCCTTGGCCTTCATTTGGCCAAAAGGTTGTAGGTTGTTTGGAGTTACCCACTAGATAACACCCTGAAACTGCACCAAAAAAATGAAAAAAAAAAAAAAAAAGAAAAAAAAAGTGGTTGCCTGATTTCTGTGGCAGGAACTACCTGGCAAATGACTGAGAATTTGTGAATTTGTGGGGAGGGCTTCCCTGAGGATTAGGATCTGCCATGGTGAAAAGCCCCCCCAAAATGAATTCTTGGGCAGTTCTGGGTAGGTGATACTGTCCTGATTCCTGGTCCTAAATTGCTTGTTGTGTGTCAATATGTGTTCTGTAGTTTCCCACATCTGCTTCTGAGGAATTCTGGATGTGCTGGTTTTATGGAACCTGCTAGGTGCCCAGTGTGGGAGAGCATCAGAAAATGGTCTTGAGAAATTTTCTTGTCCAGAATCCTTCATTCTCCATGTCCTGAGACCCAGCTCCAGTGTGATACTGGCACTAAAAGAGACCTGGACTGAGTGATGAAATGGTCTTCTGGACCTTATGCTATAAATTTCAGACTTCTTTTACAATTTATCCCTCTTCTGATTCTGCAGTAAATGCTGCTGCTTTGTTTTTTAAATGAACAAAAAATAAAGTCTCATGACTCTGTTTCTACAGGTCACTGTCCCAATTCAGGAGCTCTTGGATTTACTTGATAGCTGCTTCCCATTTCCATTTCCAGTGTTGGGAGTGCAGCATCATGGTTAGGAGCACTGTACTCTGTGGAACAGATATGGGTGTGAAGGGTTGGGATGTCTGAGTTGAGCTCAGATGTGGCATCTAGGATAATGTTAAACCTGACTCTGATCTGGTCCCTGGAAGTAGGTTTTACACCTGTTTTCATGTGGGAAGATGAAAGTGATGAGGTTAAGGCCAATTCACACCTGTTTGCTTCAGGGAGATGTGAAGATCTGTTTGTAAAATGCACTTGCAGCCAGTGCATGTCCTGAATTGCTGAGTGTCAGGAAGTGATGCAGACAGGCTGCTGCAGGATGCCCCATTGTTACTGGGGAAGGGGGTGGGAGGATGAGGTGTCTGCATTTGGAGCCCCATTTTTCCCTGGCAACAACAGACACAAATTATTCCCTGCTCTGGTGATTGCAGCCTGTTTGCCAGCACAGAGCTTTGTACTGAAATCTTTGGGCTGGCATGCAGTAATTGGTCGGTTTTTAATTTCTTTCCTTTTTTAAACAGTACTTCAAATGGTGCAGCTTTGCCATGGGGTTATAATTACATAAGCCATAGAAATGTACTTCAATGACCAGTCAAAGGGGTTTGTTTTTTCCAGCAGTTTAACCTTGGCATTTTTTGAAGGAATTGAAGTTGTTGAAGGAATAGAATTGAAAGTTGTTGAAGGAATAGAATTGAAATTCATTGGGGAGTTTAATTTCATCAAGCCCTCTATAGCTTCATGCTTTTGCTGTGTCTTTGTGCATTTGGGTTGCCTGTAAATGGCTCATTCACTTTCATAAAGGAATCAGCACAACTGTGCAGCTGTGTAAGGAGCCAGTCCCCAGTCCCTGCCCCTTGCTGCTCAGCTTGCCCAAGTTTATTGACATAAACATACAGAGGTGGCCTCTAAGTATTTCAGTTGGTGGAAAAGTTTTATATTTTTATTAATTTTACTGTAATCCTTTATTTTACTTTTGAGCATAGACAGACACCTGAGGTCTAACATAGTACAGAAGGTTTTAATGGCTGCTCTGGGGATGCTCCTGCTGTTGCTGGGAGGTGGCTGCTGCCTTGCAGCCCTGCCAGGCTTTATGGTCAGCAAGAAACTCACTCGCTTTTTCTCACTTGAGGAATTTTCAGCTCTGTAGGCATGCCTGCTGGTTCTGTAGGTGTCAGCTTGATCTGGGGTCTGCCCCCAGCTTAATGTGGAGGGCTTAGCCAAAAAAACAGTGCTTTGCAAGGCAGAGTCCTCTACAAGCAGTGCTTGGTCCCCTGCTACATCCCCTTTCCTGCACAGCCCTGGGTTCTTCTCCATGTGTGCCACTGTGTCCCCTGTCAGCCCCTGTGATTTACCTTCCTTCCTAACATGGAACTTGTGGGGCCTGATGATGCTTTCTGGCACTGGGAAACTGAGAGGGAGGAGTCAGGGCACTTGTACTTGTTAGATGTGGCAGGCCTCCTCCACGGGGATTTCTATAACCAGCAAATCCGGGGAGGAGTTAAAGCCCTGCTTGTCTGATCTGAAGACATGAACTAGCAGGAACCTTCTCCACCAGCTCCTGCTCTGCGGAACACTCTGCCTCTGCCTCCACATTCCAGCCTGAACAGAGATCTGCTGCCCGTCCCTGAGGGGCTGTCCTGGATTTTGGGGTGGTGGCTCTGGGGCCGGGGTGCTCCTGGTGGTGCTGCCTCGCCTGCTCCGTGCGCTCCCCGCCGTCCCCATGGAAACGCAGCCACTCTTCCCTCTGTGCATGACAGTGCCTAACCTGGATTTTCATGCAGTCTTGTTCCTTAAGCCAGTGACTTTAGCTGTGAAAGGTGAGCATGTGGGGAAGGAGCTGGTTACAGATTGCTTTAATTCTTTCACTAGTGGGCTTCAGGTACTCAGTTTTCACTCCGGCCCCTTGAAAGCGGGGAGGGCAGAAGGATGAACATTGTCAGTGGGTTCAGTTCTGCTCCACAGTCTGAGCTGCAGGCTTGGGGGAAGGGTTACTGTGTTACCATGTGAGTTTTTATGCATAAGTTGGGCTTTGGAGTGATTATAAGAATTATTCTCTGGTTTGACTGAATGGGTCCTCGCTGCTTTCCTCATTGTCTGGCATCTCTGCAATTCCTCACTTGAAAATACCAGGCTGGTGGTGTGTTAGCATGGGCTGAGCCCAGCAGGACATACATGCTTCTCTGCCTTTTCTTTTAATTAAACTTCAGCATCTTCTGATTGTTTTCTTGTGATTGTGCTCCACTTTGTTGAACCCATCCTTGACGAGGCTCAGGCTGTTCAGTTTGCACCAGAGCTTCTGTACTTTTTGGCAGTGTCATAATGCCAGTCCTTCTCAGACTTTTTTTCTGAGGCAGATGTCAAAGGGAGCTCACAGAGCAGAGATTGGCCTAAGATCACACAAGAAAATCTAGAATAATACTGCAGGCAGCTTTGAATTCTCAGCTTTGATCTGCAAAACCTAGTGGGGGAAGTCTTCTTGTAAGGGTAAGTGCATCAAGGGCAGTTCAGAGAATAAGATGTTTCTGTTCTGATGACCATATAAACACATTGTATTTCAGGCTTGGGGATGCTACAGACTCTCCAGATTCTTGTCACCTCCAAAGATCCAACTGTTGTGTGTCTGCTGTAGCTGCAATCACAGAGTAAGGTGAATTTTAGCAATGTGTTTTGTTTGAGGCTACTGCTTTAAGCGCTCTAGCAAAACTGTCTTCTGGGTCTGTGCAGAGCAGAGAGGAAATTTTGAGAGGGGTATGCAATACCTTGAAGTTTTTTGCTTACTTAGTAACTTAGGCTTAATTTCCACATCTGAAATGTAGGGAAAAAAAATTAAATACTTGTAGATGATGGGGGGTGGAGTGTAGGACTTGTTAAGCAGTCTTTTCCTCTGTAAAGCAATATCTCTGTCAGTTACAGGGAGATCTGTTGCACTGTTTAGAATAATGCTGCAGTTAAATCATGTTTATGATGAGCCCTGGGAGGCCAGGGACATGAACACAGTGAAGCTGCTCCTCTTTTCCATTCTCTGCACAGGATTATTTGGGAATGTTGATAACCAGGGGCACCCCTGACCACCCATGGCTGGGTTGCAGTGGCTTTGTGCTGTGTGGCTTTATCTACTGGAATGTTTGAAATCAGGAATAAGGCTCTAACTTGTGAATGTTCAAATTACCACTGAGTTAGCACTGAAACACTGAGTAGCTTGTTCTCTACAGAGGTGCTGAGCCATTGCAGCTCCAGCTGCTTGCAACAGGAATTACCAGTAGCTCAGCAGTTTGGAAGCTGCTGAAGGACTTGCAAGCAGATGTACATGACTGACTCTCAGCAGTGAAGTTGAGAATACTGGCCTGAATTTCCATGGCAAAGGAATAGAAATAAATAGCAACAAATTAAGCAGGATGGAGAGAGGAAGAAGTTCATGACAGCCATAAATGTTATGAGAAATTAACTCTTCATAGCTGTTTTTAGAGTAGCAAATCAGCCAGTGTGAACTGGCAGTGTGGTGTTAAATCTCTCATGGTGATTTGGTGCTTGGGAGTTGAGTGAGGCTGGCTAGTGTTGCATTGATCTGATTTGATGGGATTGTTCCAGCCCAGTCAATCACAAGCTTTTGCTTCTGATTTACCCCCATGTCCCAGTTCTGGCCAGGACAGGGTTAATGTTTGCAGCAGGGAGGAGGGGGCATGGTGAGCACCTGGAGGGCCTGGCAGCAGTCAGGTGCTGCTGTGCTCTGGGTGGTGACTGAATTGCAGGTGAAACATCCACCTCCCTTGCTCCCTGTTGTTACTATGGTTGCTGTTACTGCTCATTCCCTCACTTCACTTCTGTTTTCAGTACATTTTTCTTATCTTAGCCCCTGATCTTTACCTTTTGTGCCTCTATTTTTTCTCTCCAGCCCCCTGCAGTATTAGGGGAGAGGTGTGAGCAAGCAGTGCATGGTTTGGAGTGTTTCAGTGGGAACACTAAGTTGGAGAATACCATTCCTAAAATACAGCACCTCACCTCCACAATGGCCTAATCCTCTTCTCATTTTGATAAAATTCTTGTTCTTCATATGCACAATAAAGTTACTAAGAATGTATCCTTTCTTACCTTTGTGTTGTCCTGCAGGAACTGTTCTGATTGAGTTTGCAGTAGGGAACAGGGAGAGACTCCCAACTTTTGGTCCCTTGTGTCAGCCCTGTTGAATTCACCCAGAGCACAGATGTGCAGAAAACCTGTTGTTATCTGGAGTGGGCAGTTCTGATCTTGCAGGGCAAGTGAGCCTTTCTCACTGTAAAAAGTGATAGAGTTTTGTTTTTTTTTTTTATCTGGAGGCTGCTTTGCTGCTGCCCTGCTGGGACTGCCATGTGTGCCAGCACAGTGTCAGGTATGAGCAAGCAGAAAACCTGGAGCTTTAGAGAGCACTGCCTGCTCCTGGCATATCTGAGGGAGAAGGTGTCTAGGTGAGCACTTGATAATATAATAGGCACTGTTCTGAAGCAGCAGTATCTGTAGAAATGCCACAATATATGCCTTATTTTCCTCTTCTTTTGAAAGCTGAGTGGTGGACAATTGGATGTATTGGGAGGACAAGACAATGATTCTCAGTGTGGAGGCAAAGTCTGGCACTACACTGAGGTACAATAGAGCATTATCATTTCTATTTTAAAATGCAATAGTTAAATTTTAAAGCCATAACTGAATATACTTGTAAATGTTTACTGCATCTACTGCCATTATCTTTTCTCCACTTCTTGTTTGTTTTTTTGCCCATTGCTCTGCTTTCAATCCTCCCTGCACGCTTTTTGTCAGCACATACAGCTGTGAGTTGGCCTGCACATCAGTCTTCTCTTACCTAGGGAAATACTTCAACTCATGTAGATCTGCTCCTTCCATCAAGAGAGCCATCCTCTTCATAGGTCTTCAGGTCATTTAAAAGAAAAAAAATATCTTCAAGCACTTTTCCAGAATCTTCACTGCTAATTGAGTACTCCCTCTGGGCATTATTTGGTAAACTATAAAAGCAGAGCTGTGAATGTGAAAATGCTTATGGGTGTTCAAGCACAGGAATGGGTTAAGTTCAAGGACAGGAATGGGTTAATTGTTCCATGGGGACATGTTACCATTTGCTCTCTCTCCTCCTTGCTCTTTCAGTAAATTTTTCTTTTCTGGTGTGAGATAAGAATTAGGGCTGTTGAACCAGACTTGGTTCTAGTTGAATACAAACAAGAAGCAATTTTCTGCACATACACACAGAAATTGGCATCCTGGTTTTGATTTGTGGAGTAATGCTTCAGGACCCTTCTCCACACCTGTGAAGTCTAGCTGAGCTGCTTCATTTAAAAAGGGCTTTTTTCTTTTTTTAAATAGCATGTGATTACATAAAAACTTCATCTGTTTTTAGATACATCAGCATCAAGGCAGTCATTTGATAATCAGAAAACCATACAAATCTGATAGCATGGCACAACAGCAAATTGCTGTTGTTTGGTGGAAGTGTAGTGGGGAGCTTTGCTTTCACTGCTGCTCCCTCAATTCTGTGCCAGCAATTTCTCAGTTGTTGGGACAGGCTGGAAGCTGTCTGAACACACAAGGGAATGTGAATAAAATGCCAACAGTCTCTGTGATTAACTGGATATCTTTGTATTTGGTTCTTGTTTAATAATACACCAAGGCTGTGCTTCTCTTGCTTCTTCTCTGCGTGTTCAAATTATCTGATGCCTAAAATATGACCCTTTATGTGTAATCTTGCTTTTGTGTTTGTAACAGCAGTTAAGTTGGTGACAGTATTTGGTCCAAACTGTGGGCTGACCTATGTCTCACCTTTTATTTCTTTTTCTAGCAGCTGAGGCAATTGATATTATGTAAGTTGGTAATAATATTTGAAGCATGCCTGGAAATATCTGATAAGTGCCTTCATTCTTTTGATAAAGGAGTGAGGCAGAGAAAAGCAGAGCTTAGTGTAAAGTTTATTAAATGGCAGAGCACGTTTAATCTCCCCACCCCACAAACTGGAGCCAGAATCCAGCATTTGTAATCACCAGTGTCCCCACAGCATCACGAAAAACTGATTTGTCTTTGCCACAGCAGATTGTTTTTTTCTTTCTCAGATGGACATAATGGGTTATTTGTTCTTTCTCCTTGGACAGCTGAATAATAAGTGCACAAACCACCTACCTCTGTGCTCCAAAATCATGGAAATCAGCAAGTTGCACAGCTACCCTTTTTGTTATTATTGTAGCATGCTATAAGGGCTAATATTCATTAATATTCAGTGGCAACTCCTTGTGTTTGAAATGAAGTATTCTACAGCTTCCAGTTAAATGGCAGGTGAACATAAAGGAGTTGCAATTTGAGGGACAGGTATGTGAACACTTAGAGCATGTTCATGAGCTCTCATATGACCACTGTTGAGCACTTCTCTCTTTATCACTTTCCCCATATCTTGCCTTCAGTGCACTTCATTTTACTGAACTTTAAGGATGATTGAAAACTTCATGAGAACTAAATTAAAGTCTTGAATAGATAGGTTGTCAGAAACTACTACCTGAGTTGTAGTAGTAGCAGCAGAACCAATAATGTGTTACTGCAAATTGCATATATCATATGTTTTCTGGCTTTTCTCCACTATTTTAGTGCTTTGCCACTTCTGTTGGTGATATCATCAATTATCATTTGAAAAATAAAATATATTGGTTCATTTACTGATGCTGGGTGAAAGACTTGCCTGTGAATTTACAGTGCTTCCCCACAGCTGGTAAGCTCAGAGGTACCTGAGGTGTTGATGTGGTTTTTTTCACTTGGATTTTTCACTGGGAGAAATGCATGGCAGACAGCCCAAAATACTGAAATGTTGAAGCCATAAGCTGCATGTAGAAGTACCAAGTCCCAGGGCTGCCATTTCCATTTGGTTTCTTCCATTGCTTGCAGGTCAAGATCCAGGGTCATCCTGGCAGTGTGAATGGCCATGGGCACCTACATACACACTTCTGCACCTGTGGCTGCTTTAGTTTTCACTCCAGCTTTCTTGGACATTTCTTGGAAGAAATTGAATATAGTAATGTGCCTGTTCTGTGCTTGAGAGACAAAAACCTTTCCAGTCACAGACATGAAGCCAGGGAGAAATGCAGGAGCAAGTGCTGCATTCTTATTTTGTGGGGTGTTTTCTTAGACTAGAGGAGCTGACCTTTCCCAAGGGAACAAGGCTGCCCTTCACATTTACCCCTTGAGAACAAGAGCTCTCACACACACTAAAGCATCTTAAAATGGAAGAATTCTTGAAGAATACTCTTTTTTTCCTCACTAAAGCCAAAGGACTTTGTTCCAGAGAACTCAGCACCTGTATGTGCAGTTGCTTTCCCACACTTGAAGTTCTGCTTTATAAATTTTGGACTTGATGTCAAAATCTGAGGGTGTGTAAGAGAGAGAACAGTCAGGACAATGTCTCCTTTTAGCCCTCAAAACACATCTTTGGAGGCCTAGTGTTGCTGAAACTGCTGTGAGACTGTATTTTTCTCTGAGGTACACAGCTTAAAAGATAAAGCTTAAAAGATAAGTGAAACTTGAATAAATGTGTGCTGTTGCATCAGGCAGTAAAAGAGAATACTGGCCTCTGTTGACAAAGCAGATCACACAGCACCTCTGTTATCCAAGGGGTGAAGCA